GTTCTCAATGGTCGTAGTAGCGGATTCCCAGGCTTGGCCTAAATTCTCATAGGGACCCATGTACCGATATTTAGCCCAATCGCCCTGGAGTAGTTCATGTACACGCAAGGAGTCTTTTCCGACAGCGGTGTACGTCTGTAAAATCTCATTGGCGGCATCAGCGGTTTCTTTTGAAACGAGGAAACCGGGTTCACAGGACAATTCATCCGAGTCGGTGGATGGGACGAGAGTGAGTTGGTCAGATTTTGGCGGGTCGAGGGATGCGAAGGCGAGGAAGTCCTTGATGGTTTTGAGACCTTTGATTTCCGCCAAGTCGAAGCGGAAGTCACGGACGGTTTGGCGCGAGGCGATGGCGTAGCGGGGCCCGAGCGAGTGGTAAGTCAACATCACTTGAGTCAAGAGAGCGAAGTAGAGAGAGCGGTGTCGTAGATAGAGAGCAGAGCAGTGGGAGTAGTGGAGAGTGGGCAGTGGTTGGTTGGAGTAGTGAGAGTGAGCGGGCTGTCAAACGAGTGCGCTTTGACCAGTTTTTTTTTTGATGGACAAGAAGAAGGACGGCTGGAGCTTTGCGCACAAGACGTTCCTGCGCCACGCATCGCAGCCCTCGCACAGCCAGCCGCACTACAAGAAGATCCAGCGCATCGCCAGGCCGCACCTGGACTCGTTCAACGCGCTCTTCTTCCTGCAGCGGGACTCGCAGGGCCTGTTGGGCAGGGCCATCCAGAACATTGGCTCGAAGTGTGTCTTTGATGTCCAAGGCAACAAACTAGAAAGTACTCCCTCCCATCCTCTCGTCACTCTTCACTAATTATTCTCTCAGTATGGATATCCGACTTACTCATCGCGAAACCCTCAAACTCAGTCAACATTGCTTCCAACGCTAAACTACTCCCCTCCGAATGCAGAGAACGGGGGATTTCCTATACCGCGCAAATGCAAGGAAAGGTCAATTGGTCCGTTAATGGAAAGGGTGAGAATTCGACCGTTATTTCGTTTGGAAAGATTCCTATTATGGTTCGCGTATGTATTACTTTCTGAGTCTCTCTTTCCTCTCATCCCTGCTCAGAATTAAGACTTCCCATTCTGCTGCACTCTTCTTAATTCTCTTCAATAGTCTCTCATCTCCAATCTCTAATCTCTCTTATATTTCTCTCTCCTAACAATCCCATACAGTCATCAAAGTGTCACTTATACAACAAATCACCCAAGGAATTAATCGCCGCCCACGAAGACGCCGACGAATTCGGCGGGTACTTTATAATTAACGGCAACGAACGACTACTCCGGCTCCTCGTCGTTCCACGTCGCAACCACGCCATCGCGCTCGTGCGTCCCGCATTCCAAAACCGGGGTCCAACCTACACGCAATTTGGCGTGCAAATTCGGTGTACGCGGACCGACCAGACGTCCCAATCGTTCACGATACATTACTGTAGCGATGGAAACATTATTTTCCGGTTTGGATATAAAAAACAAGAGTATATGGTACCGGTGATGTTGGTATTGAGAGCGTTGAAATCGACAAGTGATAAAGAGATTTTTGAGCGGTTGACGATGGGGAGAGAATCGGATACGTTTTTAACTGATCGGGTGGAGTTGTTGTTGCGAGGAGCTCGGGGGTTCGGACGGAGTATGAAAGAGTGCAGAGAGTATATTGGGAGTAAGTTTTTTGTTATGCTTGATTCGCCGGATGATGAGACTTCGGAGGGTGCGGGTGAAGAGTTTTTGCGGAGTGTTGTTTGTGTGCATTTAAAGAAGGATAATGAAAAGTTTGATTTGTTGATGTAAGAGTTTCGTTACTTTTTTTTTTTTTTTTATGCTGAAATTCTACTCTTGGGTTGTAGATATATGATTCAAAAGCTATATGCGTTGGTTGCGGGAGATATATGTCAAGATAACCCCGATTCACCGCAAAATTGGGAGGTTTTACTTGGAGGACACTTGTACTTGATGTTTATGAAGGTAACACTTTTTTTTTTGAGGACGAGAGGACATGAAAAAGACTAATCGCATGAATTAGGATAAATTGAGAAATTTCTTGGAAGGATTCAAACGACAAATCCAAACGGATATTCGAAGAACTCCGGCGTCCGTTGATTTCCACGACAGTACGTAAAACCTACAATTTTTTTTTTTAAATACATAGGCGATGGATTCTAAACTTAAATCACCGTGTGTATTGTTTTACAGAAAAATACATTGAAAAAGTATTAAAAAAATCACCTAGTGATATTGGACAAATGATCCAATACCTCCTAGCAACCGGCAACGCCAACACGGATTCCGGACTCGACCTACAACAAGTGTCTGGGTTCACAGTCGTCGCGGAAAAACTCAACTTTTACCGCTTCATTTCCCACTTTCGAGCGATCCACCGGGGTGCGTTTTTCAATGAAATCAAAACAACTACGGTTCGGAAATTGTTACCGGAAGCGTGGGGATTTTTGTGTCCTGTTCATACACCGGACGGAGCGCCGTGTGGGTTGTTGAATCATTTGAGTAGTAGCTGTGAAGTGTTGTGTGACGAGGTTGATGTGGGTGGGATTGAAGGGTTGGTGGAGGGGTTAGGAGTGAATTCGATGGTTAGTGGGGGGCCGAGGGTTGGGAAGGGAAGTGGGGATGATATGGAGGTTGATGAGGACGAAGAAGACGATGAAGAGAAGGTTGTGGAGGGGAAGATGAAGGGTGTGCCGATTACTGTGCAGTTGGATGGACGGGTTATTGGGTGGTGTGGAGCCAAAATTGCGAAGAAGGTTGCGGATACGCTGCGGTATTGGAAGGTTGAAGGGATTAATAAGGTATGTGATTGTGAGAGGGTTTTTTTTGTTTTCACTTGATTGCGTTTATTGAATTTTGTTGATTTTTTTTCTTTTGCGCGATTGTTTTTGTGTGTGTGGGTTTGGGTTTGTGGGAGATAGGTTCCTTTGACGTTGGAAATTGCGTTAGTGTTGCCGTCGAATGGAGGACAGTATCCTGGATTGTTTTTGTTTTCCACGCCGGCGAGAATGATGCGGCCGGTTACTTATATTGTTACTGGAAAACCGGATATGGTTGGCTCTTATGAACAAGTAATCAAAAACCGATTTTTTAAGCACTTTTTTTCCAATTCTAATTTGCATTTCTTCTCATCCTCCTGTTTTGCTTGAAAAGGTATATATGGATATCGCGTGTACAAAGGGCGATATAGTACCAGGCCAAACGACCCACATCGAAGGCGACCCAACCAACATACTATCAATCGTAGCCAACATGACACCATTTTCCGATTTCAACCAATCTCCACGAAACATGTACCAATGTCAGATGGGGAAACAAGCAATGGGAACACCGGCGCACAACTTCCCGCACCGAACCGACAACAAAATGTACCGTATCCAAACGGGACAATCACCGATCGTCCGACCTAAACTGTACAACGAATACGGACTGGACTCGTACCCGAATGGCGTGAATGCTGTTGTGGCTGTTATCGCGTATACAGGATACGATATGGAAGACGCGAGTATTGTTAGTAAAGGCGCGCATGAACGCGGGTACGGGTACGGAACGGTATACAAAACCGAGTACATTGATTTAAAACCACAGTCACGCATGGCCTCGGCGAATTCTACGAAAAACCGGTATACGTTTGGGTTAGTTCCACCGGATGGCGGACAGATGATTGCGCCGGCGCGGATGCAAAAGATTAACCAGTTTATTGATTTGGATGGGTTACCGTATGTAGGCACGAAGATGACATTTGGAGATCCGTTGTATGCGGTTGTTGATAATGTTACGGGGAAGGTTGATGTGAAGACCTATAAGATGCAGGAAGATGGGATTGTTGATTCTGTTATTTTGTGTGGTAAAGAAAAACTTTGATTTTTTTTTTCTTGGTATCCAATGTTTTGATGTATTTTTTGTTCTGGGGTTTATAGCGCCTGATCAAGATAGCGACCCGTTACAAAAAATCGCGATAAAGTATCGAATTCCACGACCACCGGTAGTCGGCGACAAATTCTCATCCCGACACGGGCAAAAAGGAGTAATTTCACAAAAATGGCCGAGCGTCGACATGCCGTTTTCAGAATCGGGGATAATCCCGGACGTGATAATCAACCCACACGCGTTCCCGTCGCGAATGACGATTGGGATGTTTGTTGAATCGTTGGCGGGGAAATCTGGCGCGTTGCATGGGACCGCGCAAGATGCTACGCCATTCACGTTTAGTGAGGAGTACACGGCGGCAGACCATTTTGGAGAGCAGCTGAAGGCGGCGGGGTATAATTTCCATGGGAATGAGCCGATGTATTCGGGAATTACGGGGAAGGAATTTAAAGCTGATATTTATATTGGGGTAAACAAGATTTTAAACAAAAGAAAGAAAGAAAAAAATAATTCTTTTTTTGGGTTTTTTAGGTTGTATATTACCAACGATTACGACACATGGTATCAGATAAATACCAAGTGAGAACGACAGGTCCCGTGCACAATTTAACCCAACAACCGATCAAAGGACGAAAACGGGCGGGTGGGATCCGGTTTGGAGAGATGGAACGCGATTCGTTGTTGGCGCATGGTACGTCGTTTTTGTTGCAGGATCGGTTGATGAATTGTTCGGATTACACGCAGAGTTTTGTGTGTAAGATCTGTGGTGGGATTTTGGGGGTTTATGATGGTCGTGCTAATGCTGCTGTTGCTGTCGCGAATGGTGATGGAGGGGTGAGTGAAGTTGGGAATGGTGGTGGAAGTGGAGCGATGGGGATTATGTGCAAGACGTGTGAGACTGGGAAAGGGATTGATGTTATTGCTATTCCGTATGTGTTTAGATATTTGTGTACGGAGTTGGCGGCGATGGGAGTAAAATTAAAGTTGGAAGTTGAATAAAAAAAGAGGGTTTTCTTTCGTTTACTTTTTATGGATATTTTTATTCGTATTATCGGTTTTATTTTTATAATGATTGCATTTGCTATTGGATAAATTTTTTGGTATATGTACAGTTGGACGAGTGGAAATGGTTGTTTGGCCGTATAGTGAAGCGGATAACACGTCTCCCTCCTAAGGAGAAGATCCTGGGTTCGAATCCCAGTTCGGCCTGATTAGGATTTTTTTTTGCTCTCGAGCTCTGAAATCTTGAAAATGGCCATCCCAATTTCAAATAAAAGACATAATAGCGTTTTTATTTTTTTTTAAAAAAAATAACACCAAAGAAATATTACAAATAAAAACAAATTTTGAATACACAAAAACAAAAAAAAATAGATAATAAAAAAAAGAAAACGTTTTGGCAATAATATTATTTGGCAACTACATAGTCCATAGGAAATCCACCTAATGTTCCTCTACTTTCATTAAACCCATAGCCCCATCC